AAAATGACCGAGCTTTTTTGCGGGCTCGAGCCAGGCCGAGCAAAAGCTCGGCAAAAAAAAAAGGCTCGCTCGGGCTTTTTAAGGGCCGAGCCGGGCAGGCTAGTTTTCTCCCCAATTTTTTTTTTCTTCCCTCCTGCTGCCTTAAAAGGCAGCAGTTTTGCTGCCTTGAAGGCAGCAGTTTTGCCTTAATTTTTTTTTTTTAAAGGCCCGCGAACTCATCGGCCGGCTCGGGCAAAGCTCGTGTCCCCAAAATGGGGCTCGGCCTGAGCTTAGGCTCGGGTCTACCGAGTCCCGAGCCGAGCCACGGGTGACCCGAACCGGCGAGCCCGATTGCCATCCCTAATTGATGGTATGATTTAGGTAGCAAGCCATAGATGGGATTCAACTAACTCTAGACCGCAATTTGGTATGTACAAGGCAACACGTGTTTAGCACGTAAAAAACTATTACTCCATATTTGTAGCAGTTGCAGACGCTCAATGGTGAATGAGAATTGGCTTGATAGTTAGTGTCTAGATGATTTTAATGGACAAATGACGAGTTTTTCCTCTATTTTTTTGAGGGTTTGAACTGTATAATATTTTATATATTTTGTGATGATTTTGATGAGACACATGCAGAGTACTGTGATCCTTCACATATCCATTTATTCTCTTATATTCTGGAGTAATAATCAAGTTGGGAGTGATTCCCATAAATATAGTATTTTCGTCGGCTAAAATTTAGATTTAAGTACTCAAAACGAATTTGATGAACGATAGTTACCATAATCAGAGTATGTGTTTTGTAAATTTTTTTAGAATAATATTTAAAAATTTTGTGAAAATTATTAAAAAAAGTAAGGAAAAAAAATCATGAATTCACATTTGAAACAACTATTTTAGAAAATTATATACAAATTTTACATATGGGATTGGGGTATAAGAGCCTGTTTGAACCACATTATTTCAAAAAAAAAAAAATTTTTAAATAGTAATTTGACATCATTTCAAACACACATTTTTCAATAAAATAATATTACACACAAATAAAAAAATTTCCTTATTTTTTAACTACATATTTTCCATCAATATACTATTCAAGAATGTATTATTACCAAAATAATGTGGCTCGAATACCCTTTAAATATGATCATCAGAGAGTAATATTATTTATCTTTACTAGGGTTGTCTGCAGCTAAGCATTTGTTTGGTTCTCATTAAATTATAATTCATTTTTTCTTCATTTTTATTAACAACAAAATTTTCAATAATATAATATTACACGTACATCCAAAACTTATTCTTCATTTCTAACTACACATTTTTTCAAAAAATTACTACTTCAAACTCGTTCTCATTATAATGAGAGAAAAATAGGGGCCTTTTAGTATTACACTGGAAAGAAGTTCGCCTTCACGATCATTATTTCAAGAAACTTTATTTCCCATGCGGGCGACCTCACAGTAGTTTCCGTGCACCTTCTTCTCGCGAAAAATAATCTACAGTCAGATCCTATCAACAACAACTGAGTCATTCACTCTCCTTGTCATTTTTTCTCCTTTTATCTTATAAATTAATGGCTTTCCGCATTTATAATTATCCTCTCCTTAACTCCCCATTCTCTTCCACCTCACTACTCCTTCCCCAACGCCTTCCTACACCTAATCCCCTTCTCTGCTCTAACAATAACAATTCCAAGGTAAACAGCATATATACATCGTTGACAACTGTATTTGAAATTAAAACCGTAATTTTATGTTTATTTGATGTGTTTTGATGAATGTGATAGATTTTGGGTGTGAATAGTGGGAAACGAAGATGTGTTTCTGTGAGGGTCCAAACGACGGAGAGGAGAGCCATGCCCGAAGACAAAATGTTGGTCAGTAATTGATAAGCGAATTGAATTTTATTTATAGGTTGAGGTAACAACGATATCATTGTATTGAATGTTTTTTATTTTTTATTTTTTAGGTGTTTGTGCCACCGCATCCTTTGATAAAGCACTGGATATCAATTCTTCGTAATGAGCAGACACCTTGTCCAATTTTCAGTAAGTGGAGCTTCAGCTAAGAATGAACATAGTCCTGCCTCGGTTAGTTTGCTGAGTTTTCTAGGATAGCCAATCACTTTGAATCTGTTTGAAATGCTTGCAAATTTGTTTTATTGTACAATATGGTTCTGTTGATGAGCAACAAGGTTGCAACTGGAAAGTATAGGCTGCAAATTGCAGAAGATGCAGTTATTGATACTAATTGGATGGAAGTCACAGCTTTTTTACTTAATGACAGTGATAAACACTATCAAACAAGTTAAAGTGGGTTGAGGTGGGCTTGGAAACACATTTTTAAATCGTGTCAATTGAGTGCAGGAGGCATTCAGTTAATATTTCTTTATATTTATGCACTAATAACTCCACTGTAATATTTATAGAGAGTGCCATGGCTGAGCTGGGAAGATTGCTTATGTATGAAGCCTCCAGAGATTGGCTGGTGAGCTGCAACAATTTGGATATTCTCTTTTATTTTTGTCTTCTTATATATGATTATATCTGCTATGGATGCTATCAAATATTGTACTTTTGAACATTATTGAATTCTGAGGAATATTTTAAATAACATGACCAGTGTTTCTGGTCGTAAAAATCCCTGTTTGATTTTAATAAAAATCAGATATTTAGTATATTTTAATAAAATTTGATGAAATATGTGGTTGAAAAGCTAATTAAAGTTGTGGTTGTCATGAAATGTGTGTGGTTGAATATGAGTTGGGGAAAAAACGAGTCTTAAGAAATGGGTGCTAGACAGGGTCTAAGAAAGACAAATTGAATCATTACTTTCAACTAGTCTTCCTTTTTTCTCCTTGAAGTTTATAGTAGTTATAGATGATAGAATATAATTTTTGTTTAAAGAAACTTTCAAATTCAAAAGTCTAGAATACCTATACTAGTTTTAACTAGCATTTCTATATTTGATTGCTGGTAGCCAACTATCTCTGGAGAGATCCAGTCACCAATGGGTGTCGCCTCAGTGGAATTTATTGATCCAAGGGAACCTGTATCGGTTAGTCAAAATTTTTTATTTTATTTTAATCACTTTCCCTCTCTCTCCATTCGTGTATTCATTTGTATTGACTTGTTTTGCGCCTTTTGCAAAGAAATTAGTTACCATGGTACCCAATGTTCCCCGCCACATATTATACAATTTTACTATGTTATGCTAGCTTTTGATACTAACATCGGGAGAATACCAGAAAGTCTGCAAAAATAGTTTACATCCAAACTATTCGAAATATTCTCGTTCCAGCCAAAAAGCCCAAAATGATTGCTTACATCTGAAAGATGCATATGTTTAACATGCTCAACACTGTCAATAAATTTTGAATTTTCCTACATCAATAAATGGATTTCCTTTGCGTTTAAAGCAAATGAATGCAATGAAAAACAGTGATGACAACAAGCTAATCCTTATTTCCGTAGAAGTTGGGTTCGGCTATACTTCATTGTTATTTACTTCGATCCAGAGTTACATCTATTTGAATCAAACCTAGAGAAAGGTCCAACAAAATTAAGTATTTTGCTTCATCAGTGCCTCTCAGTCTCTGCTTTATGAACTAACACTCATCTTTCCCCATTTAAAAACCATGTAAAAATTAAAATTGACCGGATCTTAATTTGGGTTTGGCAACTTGTATACTGGATCAAGGTTTTCTTTTGCAGAATTAAACTGATCATCGTAGTCGTGCTGTACAGATTGTTCCTATCTTGAGAGCTGGTCTTGCTCTAGCGGAGCATGCATCATCGATTTTGCCTGCAACAAAAACATATCATCTAGGTACATAATGTTTAGTCCTTCTTAATTACTGAAAAAAGAAAAAAGATGGATCATAGATATTTTGGTGGTGAAAATCCAAGTGTCTTCATTAATTTTGGCGTTGTATGTTTCATTTATTACAGTAGTTACCAGAGTTGTCTCCATCGATGTCTTAATTTTCTGACTAAGCTCCATAAATTGCCTCTTGAAATTAATTGAGCTCCGTGTTTGTAAAACTGACTGTTTGCTGCATTTTTTTGTTTACTATCCAAGGCATCATTAGAGATGAAGAAACTCTTCAACCGACGGTGTATTTGGACAAGTAAGATCTCTTTCTAGATAAAATTGCTGAAGTTTCCATTTTACATTGATATTTATGCTTCTGTTGTTCCAGAATCTATGACGTGCACTAATAGAAGTGCTCTACTTTAGGTGCAGAATCAGAATATTTTGTCATTGCATTTTGATAATAAGTTTTGTTTCCTAAGTTTTATTGTTGCCATATGGATCAGCCTGGTAATTTTTTGGTAACCTGCTTCTCAGGTTACCTGAGAAATTTCCCGAAGGTTCTCGAGTATTTGTTGTAGATCCCATGCTTGCAACAGGTACTTATATCATTTTATGGCTATTTTTGTGGTAAAATATTGTTTATTTTTCTCTACGTGTCATATTATTCAGTTCATAGAGTTCTACTTCTCCCCAAAGTTTAGAGATTATAGAAAATTTGAGTTGTATCTTTGCCATTGCTTGTAATCTTTCACTTTCTTTACAAATCATATGACTTTAGGTTATAGTTAAATAGGTGTTCTTAGGTTACCACTTACCAGGTTGGATTAACAATGTGAATGGTTTACCATCAGGTTTCGTTTGCTGCTAATACTTTTTTGGGCATATCATTTGTGTTTGAATTCTAAATCCTGGTCTAATTATCTCAAGTGCTCCATCCACATATATTCGAAGTTCTAGGCCAGAAATATAGCTTCAAGCACCATCTTTTTTCTTAGCCATTTAGGTGTCATGGATCAAGACACCCTTGATTTGTTGTCTGTATGAATAGACCCTCAAAACTCTCAATTTTTAATTTTGGGATCATATTAAAATTCAATTCCATAACATGGCAATGAATAAGAGACTGGCATCTATTTCCACTTCTTAAACTAGAACTGAATGGAAGTTTGAACCCTTGGATGCACTTGACTCCTTAACCAGGATTGATAGTGGTGCTTTTTATTTGCTGTGTCTGCGAGGAATTGTTTGCTAATATGTTGTTTCAAATCTATTGTCTGCATCAGGCTTGGAAATTATTTATTTCTTTGTAAATGCAATTTTTAGGTGGCACAGTCATTGCAGCCATTGAACTGATAAAGGAGCGCGGCATTGATAATAAGCAAATCAAAGTGGTCAGGATACTAAAACTCTTTTCTTTTCTTTTTTCCATTTTTTAAAACATATACTCTCTTCTTGGCATTCTTGGCCTTGCCTCATGGACCATGGTTCAAAAACATGAAATCTCTTGCGGATCTCTTGGCCAAGTGCCAAGCATGCCTGGTGAAGCCGAGTGGGATCTGTTTTGCATGTATCTTTTGCATCTATGTGGAACATAATACTTACAGCATAAACTGCTTGGTTTCAGATATCTGCTGTTGCTGCTCCTCCTGCCCTTCAAAAGCTCAGTGAGAAGTTTCCTGGGTAATAATATCTCCAATCAATTTTTTGGAAATTAAATGTGTTGTACTTTGGTTTTAATAATTTCTCTTTTTCTTACTTACCAGGCTTCATGTATATGCTGGAATTCTTGATCCGACTGTTAATGACAAAGGGTAATTATAAATTCATATATGGAGCTCACCTTTCGGCAGAATGCATATACTGTTCTCACTTCCTGAGTTTTGGGTCATTTCAGGTTTATATTACCTGGACTCGGCGATGCAGGAGACCGTAGCTTTGGCACGTAAACCTGTCAAACTATACATCCAGCTCAATCTTCCAGGTTGTCATTGACCCAATTTTGAAATTTCTAGGCATATGATATGATATGTGGGAGAAGTTCTGCCCAAGCTTTGAAGTATTTCTCAGTTAATAATCTTGAGATTTTCTGATTAATTGCAACAATGGCGTTGGAAGGAGTGGAAAGAAATCAAAATGAGTCAATGTGTTGAATAAGATATCATGGAGCGAGCACTTTAGACGCTAAAAGCTAAATAGTTTACAAAAGATGAATGAATTATTTTTTCGCTATTTTCTCTAAATATTTTTTTTATTATCATTCTATTGTTGATCTTCGTATAATTATTTTGACGTATTGGTAATAATTTAGACCACTGCATATATCTTACTCCAGTTTTGCAATGTAATGGCATTATTCTGTAGTAGGATTTAACCATATTTTATTCTCGTAGTTTTTATTAATTTCTCATCAACCCAATTCAGGGCTCTACCTTCTGATTGCTGGTCCGTCTCAACCTCAATAAGCAGTCAACTTAGATCACTAAGACATCTTATTGGCATCCATTACATAAGACTTTAAAACCCACCTGAACTACCCCATAATGCCAGAATTTAGAAAGAACCAATTCAAAATAAATAAATAAATAAATGAGTGTTATGGGATTTTTAACCTGTGTTCGTGTTGCATTAGAGTTATATGTATAGAGTTTAACCTTTCTAGAGCCTGGAGTATTCTGATCACAAACAGAAGTAATTTCTCTACGGCAAACCAATAAATCGTTAAATACAATCTTGTGTCTACATATGAATATATCTATGAAGAGTAAGAAATCAAACTCAATTCCCTATACATGCTGGCAATAGAATTCCAAGTCTTGTGCCATTACTTAAAAATGTAATGTGCGGAGTCCAAATACATAGAATCTAAAGAAAATTTAAATGATACTAAAGAAAGCTACCTGCACATAAAAAATCATTGTCGGGACGAAAGTATATTCAAAATGGCAGTTTACACACACACATAACCACCATCACAACCACAATCATCACAGCCACTGCTCGTGTCTCCATGAGGCCGGGTTCTGGCACTAAGACAACAGCAAACTAGACCTATCAATAGCATGAAGCCCCATACCGAGGCCAAAGCTTGTGCCCAACTCAAGTAATATCCCATCTTTTCTCCTCGACTCCTCTCTATCTCAGTTCAATACCTTCCCACGGATTAAAACTCATTTTCACGTAAATTCATTATATTGGTGTTATCAGGTCAGAAAAGGAGTCAAGTTTGACAGATGATTAGTATCTCACATGGATGAGCTTGAAAGCGGGCAAGAAAACATGTGCCAACCTGTGAAACAAACAGCTACTGTGATGAAAATCTTTGCCTAAAAAATCATCCAAATTCGAGTTTTTATATTTTCTTTTTGGTGACTCCAATAAGAACATATATATTGTGTATAGGCATGTGTGGGGATAAAGTTTTACACATAAAATGCTGGTAAAAGTATACTTTCGGTAGACTGAATTGTAGCCAGATCAACTTTTCTTGCTAGTTGTCTTGGAGGCTTTTAGACTTGCCAACTGATTAGTTCTTTCATTTCAACTTATACAACACCTGCACGCAAACAATATTTGAAGTAAATGGAAGTTTTTATAAAAAGCCGAAGGATCTTTTACATGTTGTACGCATCAACCGGTGATAAATGCACACGTGTGAACTAATGAACGGTATCGTTTACCTGGACCATAAATTCGTCTTTAACTTTTTGTTGACATTGAGGTCTCTAGCTTTATAAATTTGTAGCAACTTGATCACTAATGAACGGTATCATTTACTTGACTGTTAAGAAATCAAGATTTGTTAAAAATAATATATATTTATTTTCAATTAAAACAAAAATTAAGAATAACTTCTTTTTTATCCTGTTGAAAAGGAAAACAGTTGTCCTGCTATGGGCCCCACGCCAAACTGTTCACTCCACGCCGTGTGAGGTGGCTGTGAGGAGCGAGCAGTGAGTTAGGAGTAGATGAAGGGGTTCGGGTGAGGTCGTGAGATGACAGAGACAAAAGATATAGGACATTGCTATGTGTACATCATTAGGTATACACAATGGCCTACCCCCTCTCACATGAAGGGGGCCCACAAATATTTTATTGTATGTGGGCCCCCTTCCATGTGGGAGGGGAGGTGTAATGTTATGTGTACACCATTGTGTATATGTAGCATTGTCCATAAACGGGTGATTAGTTGGCATATTTGGGGACTGAGTTTACCATTTTATCTTTGAAGTATCATCAAAATTTTACATCTCAAACTAGCAGGAGCTTTATAAAGCTGGCTTTCAGTGACTGGAATCTTGGATGTTATAAACTAGGCATGTGCATTTTAATCGGAACCAAATTTCTTGAATTTCAGTTCAGTTCCTAACAAATAAATTAGAAATCGGAACTTAGAACCAATAACTAACTGAGTCCGATTCAGTTCTTGATTCCTGAATTAGAATTATGGGTACACGAGTGGAATCGATTTTATGCTGGATAAAAAAATATAAAATTTAAAAATCCTAATTTGGGTAGTAATTAGTCTATAACCCTAAACTTTAAACTTAAAAAATAACATTGGCTCTTACTTTTTTATATCTCGCCTCACATAAAATTGTTGCATTTCAAAGGTTATTACATGTTAATATTTACAATTTGACATTTTATAAATAAAAAATGTCAAGTAGGTTCTTATGAATCAAAATGTTCATTCTTTACAATTCAAGCTTTTACTTTCTTGTATTGTTTATAAACTTAAATGGTTTTTTTATTTTTTCATAATGCATGACAATTGAATTTGATATATTCATTGCTTATGTCGTGTTGTACCTTTTTTATTATCTTGAACTCGTGGTTTTCTGTAGCATCAAGAATTCCTCATTTCGCAACATGAATCTTCAATAAAAATCACGACCATTAACATTAAAAAAAAAAAAAAAAAAATCATCCATTATTCATAGCAAACGGAAAATGATGCAAGTGTGTAAAATCGAAACCATCCACAGTTTTGTGAAGAAGATTTTACACAACCATAAAATCTCCCACATTCTTTGTAAGAAATCTATTAACTACTATACAAATTCCAACAGATTTTCGTTCTTCATTATGACTGGCAAGAGTCCATTACCTTAAACAATAATTCAAGAAATCTACAACCTGCTAGTGAATATGCAAACAACAGTAGCCTGTTTCTTGAAAATTGAGCAGCCGTGGATGAAAAACATTATTATGTAGCCCATGCACAAGATTTTGTCATACACGATTCATTATCTTAGCCCCAAAGATGAAGCCCCTACATAGACAAGAAAAGACTGTCACAAAAAATTAATATTCAGAATCATGACAGAGATCACAACCGATTTTCCACAGCCACTTTTCGCAGCCTTGAAGTTCGACGTAAAATACAAATGCTAATCTTCTCGTTAACAATGTTAAAGACAGCAATCGGATCAAATTTCATTACATCAGGGTGACGACAAGATCTGTTCTCAGACAAATACGGGGCACAAAGTGCTTAGGCAGAGAGTTGATTGTCCTCTGACATTGTGTAAAATGCAACTCAATATAATAGAAAGAGAAAAGTAATTCAAGTTCCAGTGAGGTATTAAGTGAAGATTAAAGAGAGAGGCAATTTATTATTCCACAAAACCATGAGAAGGTGGCATTCAAGTATTCTCGATGATAACAACCCATTCCAGGACCTTTAATAATTGCAACCTATACATACTATGAAAAACAATGAGAGTCGAAAACAAATTACCAACTACATACTTATCTTAATAAGGGAAAGTATTTCTGAATCAGACTGGCTCACTAGATTCGGTGCAGTTCCAATTAAAATTTAACTGGTTTTGGGTCTTAGAACTGGTAACCAAATAGTTTGCAACTGGTTCTCGGTTTCACTTAAAGAATCAAAATTTAATATGGTTCCATATACCTTATTTATAATATCTCAATTAATCAACCTTTAAGTTAACTTACACGAAGTTACATGAATTCATATGTATTAAAATTTACCAACACATTTGCCACCTAAAACAAAAAGCATGAAAGTGAAACATGAAAATTCATAGAACGGTGTAAACTTGCAGGTTTTTTCTAAAACATAAAAATAACTGGAACGAACCTGATGCAATACTAAAAGTGTATTCAAAGCAAAAATGGAATTAAATTAATTAATATTTCTTTAAATTTTAGTTTGTCTTAGATTAGGATTATTTTCTTAGTTAGTTTCCTATTTAGATTACATTTTTTAATTATTTTCCTACATTGCTTACGGTTGTTAAACGCTTATAAAAAGAAGGTTAACCCTTTGTTTTTAAACATACTTTGATTATTGAATACAAATTGTTGCTCTCTAATTTATTTTGTCCCTCTTAGATTCTTTTCAATTTTCATAAATTGATAGCTTCCTACATCAATTTGTTTGGGACTTCCGCTTTCCATCCCCAGACCGATGGTGAAATTGAGATCGTTAAGGTCAAGCTCCTTGCCCATCCCATTAAGCTCCGCTTCCACATTTCCCCCTTAAGATTCATTGACAAGGTCCCGTAGATCAAGTTATTGCTTCAAAAGAAGACTTTCGCGGGTTTCTAGTGCCTTGAAAAGGTCTTCCGCTTAGCAATGCTACTTATATTAATGAAGACGAGTTTCTAGAACTGACACCAAGCAACTGGATGCTTAAGTAGACTGTAATTGGCTTGGGTCAAATTCTTTTTGGTCGAGGAGAAATGATGTAAAACAAGATATATTCGAGGCAAAAAAAATAATAATAATAATTAAATTAATTTGAATTTCTATAATTCTATTTGTGTTCCATTAGGATTATTTTCTTAGTTTCCTATTTAAATTAGATTTTTGATTAATATCCTATGTACCTTAGGATTATTTAAACGCCTTTATAGAAGGTTAACTCTTTGTCTTAAGAACACTTAGTTTATTGAGTACAAACTACTACTCTCTCCAACTTCTCCTCTCTCTCTCAAATTCTTCTTAATTTTAATAAATTTCTTATTTCAAATATTTGTTTACGAGATTCCTACGTCATAACTAGTACTAGTAGGTACTAGTAAAATTCAAATCTACCAATTCGGTTCAATTTCGTCAAAAGTTCCATGTGATGAATAGCCTCTAATGCTTGATTCAGTCCAGTTCTCACTAGAACCAGGGTCACGAACACTCCTTCCTAAAATATAACTAGCTCACATGAATAGCTCCTGTTTTAAAGGTATATTTTCATAAAAACCAAAAATTTCTATAGGAGAGTCAACTTAGCCCGGATTTCGACAATCCAACTCCTCTCATTTGAGATTTTTCTCTCCAAATTTCTGGGATTTCCATTCATCTTTTTGGAAGTTAGGAGGTGAAGGAGAGTACATAAATCAGCAATCTAAAATAGGTTCTATGATCTTTAAATTTTCCTCTCATCCTCATATTGATGAGGACATCCACTTTGGACTATATAGTTAAGTTTTTTATTTGGGCTTATATTATGTTTTTGTATTAGCCCAGGCCTTTTTATTTTGTTTTGGGCTTGTATAATGTTTTGGGCTGGCCCAAGCCCAGTTTCTTTGTTTGTCTATTATATATATGTATGCAGCCTGTTGCATGAGCAGAGAATTGATGGAAATGAAATGAAGTTTGAGTGTTGCAAGCATTTCACCCTTTTCCACCGCCCTTCTCCTCTTCTCTTCCCTTCTCTCCTTCGTTTCTAACTGTTTATGTATTCTGCTTCTTCTGCTGTATTCTGCTTCTTCAATTTCCACAGTCTAAATTTCTCAACCTATGTTACATCAACTTGGTATCAGAGCCCAACCTAGAGTCGGTCGTTTTTCTGCATCCCATAACCTGCATAACCTAGCATCACCATTTTCAAACTTCATCCCTTGCTACAAAACCCAGTAACCATACACACATATAAACACAGCCCCCGCAACTTACAGCATCTTCATCCATTATATATATACATACATATATATATATACCAAAGCAACTCCCAACCCTGCTGCTACAAAACCCAGTCAACAACTCTGCCTTCTTCGTTAGGGGCACACTGTATCACTGAGCTACCCACGACTTCAACAGCCCGACATCAATAAACAACCCCTACCCAAACTCATACAAGTTACCCAGTCAACCATAATCCAGTCTCTGCCACCCAGCCGCACACGTATGCTGCAAAATTCATAAAACCCACCACGCAGTGACCACCCAAAAGATTCAACCCCAATAATCCATCTTCCATTTTCAAGAAATTGAACCAACCCACTCGAAATCAAAGCAACCAAAAAAAAAAGGGAACCATCAACTGTTCGAGCTTGACAGCCTACAAATTCGGACTTCTGAACACATAAATTTCAACCCAAGTCGTCTACTTCAACATCTTCTCCACCTCCCAAGTCGTCGACTGCTGGTAAACCGATGACCCAAATAGTTGACTCTCTCCTTCGTCGGCCACCGCCCAAGATGCAGACTCCCACAGCCCGGCTACGCAGTTGAGTCCAGCACCGCCAACAATCGATCCAGAGTTGCCGTGTAATTGGATATATATTTTTCAATCGGGTTGGCTTTATTAGTTACTATTCTGCACTTGGGCTTATGTTTGAGTGCAAATTTGATTTTAATTTGGGACCAATTTTTTGAAATGGGCTTAGTTATTACCCTGTTGTATTTATGTAATTTAGTTTGATTTTGTAAGTTTAAAAAACAAAAAAAAAAAAAAAAAAAAAAAAGAGGTGATAAGGAAGTTTGTCTCTTTCCATATTTTAGCATGTACAACTAATTAGAAAAAAAATAATTTTTTTGGCTTTCAAGAACTATAGAAAGAACAACACTTTTTCCCTTTTTTTTATTTTTATTTATATATATATAAAAGAAAAGCGAAAAAAATTGTATTTTCTAACATTGTTTTGTAGGTACATCTTCTTGTCCTGTTAATCGATCGAATTACTTCAACGAACAAAAAGGGAAGTTACTATTTTTATCTATATTTGGTTTATATTACTATTAATTTAAAATCGCATCAATTAATTTTCTGTTCTGCTATTACATTACTTTGCCTAAAATTACATGATTGAACCCTTGTTAAACCCCACTTTTATCCCGCTTATTTTACATGATTAAATTTTGACTGGTAATTTGACCCTCGCTTTGTTATTTTACATATATTAGCAGTATTAGCTTGCCATATTTGGACTTACTTAATCCCAAACCTTTAATTTAAATGCTCAAATTGCTATTTTTCGTTACTTGCACTTGTTGTTCATTGATCTCTCCATCGCAATTCGCAAGTCATATAGCTGGTATTACATTGCATGCAGTTGCGTGGTGGTCGTCTAGTCACACCTAGTTCTAGTACATTCACCATGGACCCCTCACAGTTTGATGCACTTACTAGACAATTAGCTCAACTTGTCACTAGCCAGCAACATTTACAGACTCAAATTGCGGCTGTCCAAACCGAGATGGCTGCTACTTGTGAATAGAGTAGAGACCTAGCTACTAGGTTGGACAATTTTGAACAAACCCCTCATTCGACTGACGCTGATAACTCTGAAGCGTCTCATAATGTTCACTATTATCGTCGACCAAGTGGTTGACAACATCCTCGACGTGATCAAAGGAATGGAGATCAAGGCCGTGAGTGAGAATGAGGTCATGGTCGTCGCGATAATCATTCTCCTCCACGCCATGACGAGCGTTACTTTAGAAACATCAAATTAGACGCTCCTACTTTTGATGGCTGCTTAGATCCTAGAGTTTTTACTCAATGGATTAGAGACATGGATCGTTTCTTGGCATGGTATGGAGTCTTAGAGGATCGACGTGTCCAATTTGCCAGTTTGAAATTAACTGACATCGCCCAACTCTTCTGGGAGAGTGTTGAGGATCTCATTGAGAGGCGTCGTGCACCTCTAGTTGGAAGTTGGGAGGAAATGAAGCGTCGCCTTCAAGAGAAATATTTGCCCCAATCTTACAGGGGCAACTTGTTGGACCAATGGAATACCCTTACACAGGGGAATCGACCAGTGACTGACTATGTTACTCAATTTGATGAATTTAGAATGCGATATCATGTCGTTGAGTATGAGGCAATGACTTTGAATAGGTTTAGATAGGGCCTAAAAGATGATCTTAGGCGTGAACTTATACTTCGAGGTGTCACTACCCTTGATCATGCTTATCCTTTAGTCCAAGATTATGAGTTGGTCACTAAGACTCCATATGGAAGGCGTGTTAACAGTCGTCCTTCCGTCTCATCCGTGTCACCTCCGCCTATTAAGTCCCTCCTAGGGCCTTCCCCATCTAATGTTCTCCATGTGTTGGAAAATAAGGGTAAAGCTCCCGAAATTCCAAAAACTTCTTCTCGCATGCAGTGCTTCAATTGTAAAGGCTTTGGTCATATCGCATCTAGATGTCCTAGTCAAGCTTTAGTCATTGAGGAACAAAAAGATGTAAAAGGTGAGTCATTAGAAGATCAAGTCTATGAACCTAAGTTTGAAGAGTTTGACGATTTGGATGATATTGATGATACCTTGTTAGGTTGCATCCGAACCTTCCCTATAGATCTATATTCTGTGACCTCTGTCCCCAACACCTTGCGGCTAAGTGTTGTACGTTGTACCCTCACTCACCCTAAAGATGCTGATGATTGGTGTCGTGACGCCATTTTTCATAGTTATATCAAGATCAATAACAAGGGTTGTAAAATTATTGTGGATAGTGGTAGCTGCATTAATGCATTTTTTGTGGCTACGGTGTCCCGTCTTCGATTACAATCAGTCCCACACCCTCAACCTTATAGCGTCTCTTGGGTTGACACTTCTTCTATTGCCGTAAATGAGCGTTGTTTGGTTCCTATCCAATTTCTTGAATACAAAGATCATATATGGTGCGACGTCATTCCCATGGACGTTGGACACGTCATTCTTAGTCGTCGTTCAATTTAGATGTCACTATCCATGGTCGGTCAAATTCATGTTCCTTTGTGTTCAATGGGAAGAAGACTCACCTTAATCCTTTATCGCCAAAACCTGTTGATTCACAACAGACCAAGAAAATTGTGGAGCGAAAAGGGTTACATATGATTAGCCCTACAAAATTTGAGCGTACACTCAAAGAGGATTCTGTTGTGTTTGCCGTGGTCGTCATGGAAGTTTCATCGAAATCTCCAATATTAACCCCTGATGAGGTCCAATCAGTTCTTCAAGAGTTTCGAGATGTCTTTCCTGAATATCTCCCTGATATATTGCCCCCTTTACGGGACATTCAACATGCTATAGATCTTGTTCCTGGATCGTCTCTTCCAAATTTACCTCATTATAGAATGAATCCTACCGAGCATCCTGAGTTTCAGATGCAAGTAGAGGAGCTCCTTCACAAAGGATTTATTCGTGAGAGTCTAAGTCCTTGTGCGGTTCCCGCCCTTTTGACTCTTAAGAAAGATGGTTCTTGGAGAATGTGTGTTGATAGTCGTGCCATCAATAAAATCACAATGAAGTACCGTTTTCTAATCCCTAGGCTTGATGATATGTTGGACATGATGGTCGGCGCCATGATATTTTCTAAGATTGATTTAAAGAGTGGGTACCACCAAATTAGGATTCGCCCGGGTGACGAATAGAAGACTGCCTTTAAAATAAAGGATGGTCTTTATGAGTAGTTGGTCATGCCTTTTGGGCTAACCAATGCCCCGAGTACTTCTATAAGAGTAATGACACAAGCTTTGCAACCATTCATGGATAAATTCCTCGTTGTCTACTTTGATGATATTCTCGTGTACAGTAAAACTAGGGAACAACATAGAGATCATCTCACGTAGGTTTGTTCTACCCTTCGCGCTACAAGCCTGTATGCTAATGTGAAGAAATGTTCTTTCTTCACAGATAAAGTTGTATTTCTAGGTTTTATTGTCTCTGTGACATGAGTATTTGCTGACCCTACAAAGATTCAAGCCATTGGTAGTTGGCCTGAGTCCTAGACTATACATGACATTTGGAGTTTTCATGGTTTAGCTACCTTTTATCGTCGTTTCATTAAAGGGTTTAGCACAATCATGGCTCCTATTACGGAGTGCATGAAAAGAGGGAAATTTTATTCGTCGCACGAAGCGGCCAAAGTATTTAAGTTGGTTAAGAGGCGAATGACAGAAGCTCTAGTCATGTGATTTCCCGATTTTTCCAAAGTTTTTGAGGTAGAATGTGATGCCTCTGGGGTAAGGATAGGTGGAGTTTTGAGCCAAGAGCACCACCCAATTGCTTATTTTAGTGAGAAATTAAATGATGTCAAACGACGGTACTCGACTTATGACAAGGAGTTGTATGCAGTCGTACAAGCTTTACGCTATTGGCGTCATTACTTGTTGCCCCAGAAATTTGTTCTTTATTCGGACCATGAAGCACTTCACTACCTTAATTCCCAAAAGAGATTGAATGCTAGACATGGTCATTGGATCGAGTATTTGCAAGCCTACTCTTTTGTTTTGAAGCATAAAAAGGGTAGTGAAAATTAAGCGTCGTTTGCTTTAAGCCGCCGCATTTCACTCTTAACCAACGAGTGTCAAGGTCATAGGTTTTGAACGATTCAAAGAAGATTATGAGTCATGTCCCGATTCAAGGACATTTTCCTTGCGTTGCAAAGTGGACAATTGGATGCTACTGATGATTTTCGTCTAGAGGATGGTTATCTTTTTAGGTCCAATAAATTGTGCACCCTCGGACTTCAGTACGAGACTTTATAGTTTGGGAAAGTCACGTGGAAGGCTTGGCTGGGCATTTTGGACGTGATATGACAATCGAAGAGGTTGAACGTCAATTTTATTGGCCTTGTTTGAAGACAAATGTAGCTTAGATTGTTAGTGCTTGTAACACCTGTCAGTTGGCCAAACAAAAGAGACAAAACACTGGTCTTTACACACCTCTTCCCATCCCTAGTTGGCTTTGGCAAGATGTCAGTATGGATTTTGTACTAGATCTCCCATGTACTCCAAAGAAACATGATTCTATTTTTGTTATAGTGGATCGTTTCTCGAAAATGGCCCACTTTATCCCTTGCAGCAAGAATTCAGATGCCTCTAAGGTTGCTAGGTTGTACTTTAATGAGATTGTTAAATTGTATGGCCTTCCTAAGTGGTGTGTCGGATAGGGATGTTCGGTTCACTAGCCACTTCTGGAGAACCTTATGGCACATGGTTGGCACTAAGTTGAAATTTTCCACTACGTATCATCCTCAGACCGATGGTCAAACTGAAGTTGTTAATCGCAGTCTTGATAACCTATTAAGATGTCTAGTTCATGAAAATCTTGAGGAACTGGGATTTAATCCTCCCGATAGCCCAAATTGCATATAACAGTTCTATGAATCGATCTTTAAACATGAATCCTTTTGAAGTTGTTCATGGTTATAAACCTAGGAAGCCTTTAGACCTTATTCCTATGTCCCCACATGCTAATGTGTCTTTGTCAGCTGAGGCATTTGTACAACATCTTCATGACTTGCATATTGAGGTCAATAAACAACTAGAGGCAAGTAATGCTTCATATAAACTTCGAGCGGATTTGCATAAACGACATCTTGAATTTAATATTGGGGATTATGTGATGATCCGAATTAGATCGAAACGACGTCCATTTGGATCCGCTTCCAAATTGTAAGCTCGTAGCGCTGGTCTTTTTAAAATTTTAAAGCGTGTTGGTCCAAATGCGTATGTTATTGATTTTCCATCACATTTTGGCTACCACTCTACTTTCAATGTTGAGGATTTAGTTGCTTATAAAGGCCATTTTAAGGCCTCCGATGATCCTTTTCTACCCCTATTTGTTGACCCTCAACCCGAACCTGTTGCTACCCCTACTTCAACACCCCCTATAACAATACCCAAAGAAAAGATTAATGCTATTTCAGATGAATAGATTATGTTGACTAATGATGGAGAAATTCAGCGCTTTCTTGTTCGTTGAGTAGGTCGATCTGACTCTGATTGTACATGGATATCTAGAGAGACACTCCAACAGCTTGATCTTGGCTTGTTGGAGCTTTATAGGAGTCAGCATGATCTCCCATTGCCCAAACCACCTATCACACGTGTATATGGACGTCGGAAGAGGTTTGTCCACCACTCAGCTTATGGTTGGGCAACTGATTGCAACCTTTTGTGAGTTATTCTCTCAACAGAGTCGAGTTTTCTCTCATCCCGGGAGAGTTGATGAGGACATCCACTTTGGACTATTTAGTTTAGTTTTTTTATTTGGGCTTATATTATGTTTTTGTATTGGCCTAGGCCTTTTTATTTTGTTTTGGGCTTGTATAATGTTTTAGGCTAGCCCAGGCCCAGTCTCTTTGTTTGTATATTATATATATGTATGCAGCCTGTTGCATGGGCAGAGAATTGATGGAAATGAAATGAAGTTTGAGTGTTGCAGACATTTCTCCCTTCTCCACCGCCCTTCTCCTCTTCTCTTCCCTTCTCTCCTTCGTTTCTAACTGTTTAGGTATTCTGCTTCTTCTGCTGGTTTCTTCAATTTCCACCGAGTCTAAATTTCTCAACCTATGCTACATCACATATCCTTCATAACCAACACTAAGAGCTTTCTGGTATTTGACCTCCCCTCACACTAGCTCTTCATATTGCTTGACATATATTCACAGTAACATTATCTAACTATAAAACTACAATGGTAAAGTTACTAATCCCTTCATCAACATGCAACAAATTGTCTACCAACAATTTTCTCCTTCAAGACCTTCCCAAGCAGCCAACGTCTCAAATAGCTTGGTCAGGCACCTTAGAGCACGACATATATATATATAATAAAAGATAATGAAAATAGAAGCCATTGAGACAAATGTTGCAGTGCTCAATGTAAAGGCAGATCAAGGCAAGGTAACTGACATGTGTTTTGAATCCCACTAGTAGACAAGCTATAGATCACTATAATTGCGCCAAACTGCACGGAATTCCTCACGGAATGTGTTCAGGCGAGCTTTCAAGTTAGGTGTCCTAAAGCTTGCATGAATGAGGGTGACTGCAACAAGAAAGAGAGTTTGAGATGAATCACGAATCTACACCATGGAAAAAACTTCAAAGTTACAATCATAAAATTACCAAGGAGGCCAATAGCAAATGCCCATAAGACACTGAGAAGTCCACAAGAGACAAACCAGAGAATGAAACTCACTGTGGAAAGAACAAATAAAGCCATAAGCTTTCACTATAGAAACTACACTCACGCAACTACGCAAGTCATAAATGAGAAATCAATGATGCTGAAAATGGCTGAAAGTTTTGCCATACCTGCCGAAAATAGCAAGACAAATACCCAACGAGGCCGTCCACAAATATGCACTGTTCTTTTCGAAGATGGACGCCCTCGAATAACAGGCCTAAAATAAATTAGATATTCAAGTCAGTAGCAGCAGTGAATGGTTTGCAATTCCATATATACAAATGTGCTTACATAAGGGGAGGCCTCATTTTGGCAGCTAAATGCGGAGAAAACTGCCTGACAGTTCTTGTGACCTTTTCACCGACAGTACCTGCAAAACTGTATAACAAATTGAGCAATATGAAAAGGATGTCAAGAACCACCGTCAAGAAGTTTATGCAGTCCAGACAACTGTCAAAAACAAACAACTAGATTGCAATATTCTAATAGCAACAATCAAAGCAATTGCAAACTAAACCACATATGCATGTTGACGTAGTGCTCACTGGTCAGAGAAGCATACCTATCATTCAGAAAAGCTATGCTTAGAGCTGTCAATATGGCAGCAACAATAGAAAGTGGCTTCCTGATAAATCCCACCCCTGAAACTCAATGTGCACATGTATACATTAATTTAGATACATGCATAGACACAAGAGTGCGAGTGCACATATGTCACATAAAAACTAGTACTGGTCATTATCTTTAGCTTGCTTACCAAGAATAAACACAATCATTATGAAATAATTGGTCCTATAGCTGCCAAAAGGAAATTAAAAATACATATCAGCAAAGTAAAAAAAGTTGTATTTTCCTATTAGATAACTCTATTAACTTTACATTACCCCAAAAAAATAAAAGAAAAGAAAAGAACCAACAATTCAGTGACACCAAACTCAATACTGCATAATTTAAAGAATTTGTTTCTAGACAAAGCTTAATGTTCTAATTAACAATAAGAAAATGCATAAAGAGAATTAAAAATTTAATCTTCTCTAACAAAGTACTAGCCTACATCGAGAAACCAATAAATAAATCTCTCTTGCATTTCATTTCTCTCCCGTTCATTAAACAGCTAGTCGGATATCAAATTAATAATCAAAGAAATAATATATGTATCCATATACAAAGGAGGAGAAGGAGGATCTTACTAGTATAGATTACACTTGAGGCGGCTGTTCCATTTGGAGTAGGAACGAGGGATGGTAAATCGGGAAAAGAATTCGGCGATCGGCCGCGGCGGCGATGACCAGTCCACTTCTCGTAATGCCTCGATCAGATCCCCCGTTGTTACATTAGTCCAATCCATTTACTACTCAACTTAATTCAAACGATTGAGAAAAACCCTAGGTGCAAGACTTTTCTTTTTAGAAAAAGAGAAAGAAATTGAATGGAAGAAATGGGCAACGTAACCGAGATTGGATTAATGGGCGTTAAATAAGTCGTTTGAAACTCCGTCCTGATTTTGCTTGTTTTTAACGGGAAAGAGAACTCCGTTTCAGATCAACGGAATTATAAGTCATTGTTTGAGCCCCATTCTTGTTTTAAAAATAAAAAAATAATAAATAAATAAATAAATAATATATATATATATATATATATATATATATATATATTGAATAATGTAATGATAAAAAATGTATGATTAAAAATAAAAAAAATTATGAATTTACATGTAATATTATTTTATTGAAAATTGTGTGATTGAAGTAGAGTCAAATCGTCGTTAAAAAATATATTTTGATAGAAAAATTGGACTCAAACAAAAGCTAAATGAGCTCATTTGAATCCCATTCTTTGCCAAAAATGCATCATAGAATAGGGATTTTAGTGAAAATATGTGGTTAAAAAATAAAGATATTTTTTATTTACGTGTAATATTAAGTCATTAAAAAATGTGTTTTTAAAAATAAGAGAGAAAAATATTTTGAAAATAATGGGATTAAAAGGCATAAATAGACGCTTGCATTTTACAACCGTTATAAAAGGCGAGAGCTTTTAGTTATTGTTTGACAACCATTAATCTATTTTATGATTTGCTATAGAATTATTTTCAATTATACATTTACATAGTAAAATATTTTACTTGTATGAAAAAAAAATTTACTTCTTTTTAATCGCCAATTCTACTAATGATCACCATTCAAAACTTTATTTTTTTCTACAATAATGATTGTCCAACAAACTCTTAATTCAAATATGTTTAGACTGTTATAATGTCAAGATAATAAAAAAAATTCTAATTTCTTACTAAGAGCATGTTTGGTAAGGTTTAAAAGTCAATTAAAATCAATTTTTTGACCGTTATTTCACTATTTCAGTCGCCATTTTTTAATCATTCTCTTACACGTAGGACTCACTTTATCTCTAACGGTCAAAAAATCAATTAACAAAATCCCTACCAAATAAGCACTAAATTAAAAGTTCGTGTTTGCCCTCATTTTTTAAAATTATTATTTTTAACTCTGTAATTTATGAAACTTATAATTTTTATTAAGATTTAATCATAGATTTCATTAACTTTTATTAAAATTTATTAAAAATCAAATTTTATCAAAATCAAAGGGGACTAAATAAAAGCGCGTGTCTTGTTTGGATAAAAGCGCATGTCTTGTTTGGATAAAAACTATAATTTTAGTAGAATTTTAAAAAAAAAAAAAAAAAAAAAAAAAAAAAGAAAGTTAAAATGATAGAATACATGGTTGAAAGTTGTCAATTTTCTTGAAATGTATTATTAAAATTAATATTTAACTTGACTTTAAATTTAATCAACATTTTTAGTTGAATAGAACATTAGCCAAATGTTATCAAATCTTGTCCCCAAAAAAGTTATTTAATTTAATAACCAAAGCTTAACTTGCTTTGATTAACTATTTTATTTTTTCATAGTAATAGTAATTTTTGGAGATTGTGTGGTTAGAAGGGAAGGAAATTTTTTTGGGTTTAAATGTAATGTTACTCTCTCCATTTTATTTATATAGGCCGACTTTCTTTATTTTTTGTCTTAATTATATATAATCCTGTTTCTTTATCGATAATGTTTTGTTTTGATTGTTTATTGATATACTCTTATTTAATTTGTCTAATTATAATTAATTTTTTCACTTAATTTTAAAATTATACAAATATAAATAAGGGTAAAATAAGAAAATTTTTGACAAAAATTACTTTTTCAATAACATTAAATAAAATTTAATAATCTGTATAAAAAAAAAGGCCTATATAAATGAGATGGAGGGAACATTTCATTGAAAAATGTGTGGTTGCTAAAAAAAGAAAAAAATTAAATTTTAATTTAATGTGGTTCAAACCGGACTTAATGTCATGAATTATTTTTCTTCGTAATAAATAGTCAATCAAAACACCAGAAATTCTCATCTCTACCTAAAAGGGAAGAGTAAGGGTGCTTGTACAGTTCCACATTCGGGTAAATCGTGGAAAAGAAGGTCAATTCTTAGGTTGCGCCTTTATAAAAAAAATATATATATATAATTTTTTTTTTCAATTTTTATGAACAATTTTCTGGATCTAATAGTTAATGTGGATCTAAGCTCTAGGTTTGGACGATGTATTGCATCTGAAGATTCTCGTGCTTTCAATTTTCAATCATCTTATTTTTTTGAAAATTTAGTTATATGAATTGTTATGTAATTACGGTAGTTATGATTTTAATTGTTTAATATACATTATTTTATTCATGTTATAATCATAAAATAATTTAAAGCCTTTTGCATTTAGAACACTAAAAAGGTTTCCCGTTGAGTTGCAACTTACAACACTCGAAAAACTTAACCATGCTTTGAAGTCTAAGGAGAGTGAATAAGCTAAATTTATTTTCTTCGATCGCCAATCAATTAAATTAGCCAAATAAAATTAATTGAAAATGTCAATAAAAGGATTGATTCTTTCATCGTGAGAGCTCTAATGTCATGACTAACTTATATTCACAGAATTTGCCACTACAAATTTATGAGTCAAATTACCTTCACAAATATCCTCGTTCGTATGATTTGATTCGAAATGACACATACATTCTGTGTATCTAATACAAAGCTAACGCATTATATATTCCAAGGATTGCAAGACTGTGAATTGATGAGAAAAGTCATCCCCGATTGTGTCTGCAATAAGTAACTATTAATCGAGATAAGTGAACTTTTATTTCACCTTGCATTTCTCATTTTATTTTTAAGGTTATTTGTGCAACTATTTTTGTGTAAAATAATGGCAAGTAAAAATCTTGCTCGGGGTTCTATATTAACCTGTATCTTCTAATAGACATATTAGAAACTTTGTCACTTGAACAAAGTAATCCATTTTTTCAGACAGAACCACGAAGAGCGATGAAGATGGAACGTAGTTCGATGGAATATTGAGGAGTTAAATGTCAAGATTAAAAAATTACAGTTAAAAGTGCAAAAAGAGTCAGGTTTTGGGACCGTTTGTGCAATTTATCTAATTTAATACAACACGAGTCCACTCCTCTCCCCGTTACCTTATCTTCTGATCACTAACGAAAACCCAAAACTATAAAGAGAAAAATGAAAAAGAAGCAAAAAAACAAAAACAAAAAACGCAGCGGAAGCAAAAGCCAAACCCTTCAAACTTCTTCGTCATTTACTTCTTCTTCTTACTGATTTCGGCTAAAAAATAATTGAAATTTGAATGGCTCAATTGACGAGTAGCAGTGGCGGGAGGTATTGTACGGTGGGGGATTATATGGTGGAGAAGCAGATAGGGGCCGGTTCGTTCTCCACAGTAGGGGTGGGCGCGAGTCGGTTCGGTTCGGTTCTAAAGAGAGTCGAACCGAACCAAACTTTTTGGGTATCTAGTAAATGGAACCGTCGGGTCCAAATATAATTATGGAACCGTTCGGGTTCGGTTCCATTCGATTCCGTTCGGTTCTGTACTATAATTAAATTTTTAACATTTATAACAACATTATATAAATACGACTAATGATACATTCAATGATTTTGAAATGTCAGAGACTCGATCAAAGTTTCGATCGGCGGAGGTCACAGGTTCGATCGGAGGTCAGAGTGTCGGCCGACAATTGTATATGTTTTGAACTATTAGCGAGGCTGCGAGAGTGAGTACGAGAGTCGAGACAACGTTATGCACTTTAGTGTAGGTGTTTAAGGTTATTTATTGGATTTGATCTTGTTTGACTAAGAAATGAAACAATAAAATGGATAATTGGGTCAAAAATTAAAAAATTATAAATGAAACAAATTATTGGGCCAAAAATTTGGATTTAGAAATCATTAATTTGTTAATTTGTTTAGAAAAAATTAAAATAATTTGATTTACTCAATATAAAAAAAAAATAGAAAGATCCAGTTCTTATTCGGTTCTTCGTCTAGAACCGAGAACCGAACCGTACCAGTCGGTTCTTAATTCAAATACCTGTTCGAGTATTTAATTTGACAAGAACCGTCGAGTTCGGTTCGGTTCGGGTTCGATTCGATCGGTTTGGTTCGGGAGATTTGCCCAGCCCTACTCCACAGCATGGCTTGCGTGCCATCGCACCAATGGCACCGAAGTGGCAATTAAAGAGATCTTTACTTCAATTGCAAACTCCAGGAGAGCCTGAAGTCGGATATTTTTATCCTCAAGAAAATCAATCACCCTAACATCATTCGATTGCACGATATGATCGAGGTCTACTCCATTACCCTTTTTCTTTTTTTTACTGTCTTTTCATTTAATGAGGATTTGTTATTTGAATTTTACTTGGAATGAGATTTGGCAGTTTTATGTCATGATTGTGAGTATATGTGTCGATGCCAGCGGTGGTATTTTTTTTAGGTACAATGTGTTGTAGTGTACTTTAGCTTTTTGGATATTATGACTACAAAGTAGAAGTACTGAATAGTTTGCCTCAATATGAATGCGAGAATATGCGATCATTAAATTGGGTATTGTTCTCTTATTTTAATTGTATTGGAATTAGAGTTGGCAGTTGGCGTTTTAGGGTATGGTCATGATTGTAAATCGTGTCTTTCAAGATTCTTTTTTCTTTATGATCACTTAATATGGTTATGTTATGCCTTTTGATTGGATTTTATTTTTCTTGTCCATGAATCTTAGAGGACAGGTGCAACGGACTATTGATTCCAAAGTGCTAATAGGATAGTTGCTTTCTTTTTACAATTCTTATTTTGTTAAATATTCATTTTACTGTTTACTTATTACAATTTAAGCCCCTCTTTGTTAGAGACTTTTTTGAGAATAGATTTTTTGAAAAGTTATATTTTGGAGAATGTGCCCACATGTAAAATTATTTTATTAGAAGAATGTATGGTTGAAAATAAATTTGAGGAAAAATGGGTTTTATGAAACGGGGACCAAACAGATTAAATACATTTTTGTGAAAACAATAATCACTGTGCAAATGTATTAGGAATATGGAAAAATGTACATTGTTTTGGAGTTCTGCAAAGGGCACCACCTTTCCATGTAT